GTGTGTGTGTGTGTGTGTGTGTGTGTGTGTGTGTGTGTGTGTGTGTTTTCCACAGTCCAGTGCGAGACACCGTGGTGACAAACGATCGGTGGGGTTACGGCACCATCTGCAACCACGGTGGATATTACACCTGTAATGATCGCTACCAGCCGGGACACCTGCTCAAACACAAATGGGAAAACTGCATGACCATTGACACCAAGTCCTGGGGTTACAGACGCAATGCTCCGCTCAGCGACTTCCTCACCATAGAGCAGCTCGTGGCGGTGAGAGCGGAAAATCCCTTTAACCTTTGAGATGTTGTGTAACTGCTGAACTGCTCCAGCCAAAACAAAAGCATTGGGTGTATCTAAATGGCTTATTGAAATAAAAGTAAATTCAGGGAGAGCCTTAAAATCCCTATTTAATGAAATTAAAACCAAACAAGTTCAACTCCAGTTGGTTAAAAGCTCCAGAACAAGAAAGTTTAGTTGAAACCATTGTTTCCAAAAACAAACATTCACAGACAAGGAAGAAAATGTTTGAGATCAGCAAGTTTCAAAAAGGAAGTTCCTGGTTTCTACCACATTCAACATTATTTCTGTTTTTCTGTTTCACAATAGATTTTTTTCTTCCTCTCCCAGTTTATTTTCTCAATTCAAAAAAATGTCAGAAACTAATTAAAAATGCTCATTCAAGATAAATGAACATATGTAAATTGCTTTATGATCAAAAATTCAAAACTGGTAAAGCTGCTAACTCCATTTTTTGCATTTACAGTTATTAAAATTACACGCATGACCAACTGACTGAGAATATGTGTTTCAATGTGTTTCAGACGTTAGTAGAGACGGTGTCCTGTGGGGGAAACCTGCTGATGAACATCGGTCCGACACACGACGGTAGAATCTCTCCGATCTTCGAGGAGCGTCTGAGGCAGATGGGTCAGTGGCTGAAGGTGAACGGCGAGGCCATCTACAACACGACAGCGTGGCGGGTTCAGAAAGACAACGGCACTGCAAACGTCTGGTGGGTTCTCATCTGTGTTTGTGCATCGTGTTTGGTTTGCAGTGACGAGACTCACAAACCAACACTGGATGCAAGAGTTGAAATAACTGCACGTTTCAACAAATAGAGATTTGCTGTAAAACAATGTGTGGATGCATCAAAATTATGTAAATATTCGTTATTATACTAATTCTAAAATCCTTGCTTAGACACGATTGGACGAGTTGTCTTTTTTTAATGATAATCGAGGGATTCACACAGTTACTGCAAATTTATTTTTATATTTATTTTCCAAAAGTCAATTAAATTCATGTTTTATGAAACATATCTTGTGAATGGATGAGTAATGTCTGTACTGGTGGTTTCTATTGTCTAGTCTTTCTGTTCCATATTATCAGTTTGTTGTAACTGTGGGTTTTCTCCCTCCTTATTATGTAAAATCAAAACTTAATAGTGATAATTTCTCAGTTTATTAATGGACTTTATCTTCAACAGGTACACATCCAGACCACAGGAAAAGGCCGTCTTTGCCATTTTACTGGACTGGCCCAGTAATGGATCTGTGATTCTACATGAACCTGTGGTTACACAAGGACTGACTCAGGTAAGACAAGAGCAACACTGGAAAATATGCAGTTTAAATATTTGTCATTTAAATGAAAATGATCAATACCAAGAAATTCCATTAAAGAAAGAGGCAAGATAAATAATGTCTCCATTTGTCCACCAGAGATCACTCATGAGTTTGTGTATTTGTATGAACAAAGAATATCAGCCTCATTTCAATATTTCTTTTTTTTCCTGAATGACTAATGTAAACATGTACAGGTGTTTTAGATTTTACATAAAACATTGATAAAATCCATAAATGAATCTGTTGACTTGTGGCTCTCACAGTAGCTGCATACAGGGAACAACCTCCATCATGTTAGTGGTGAAAGAAACGAGTGCTCAGTGTTTAATTAGAGGCTCGATACATTGGCACACTGGTCTAACGCCACTGGAAGATCCAATAACCGCTCTCCGTCTTGACAAAACGAGTCTGACTGGTTGTTCTCGCTCTCTGCCAACATGTCAACCTCGTTCACGTGTCGCCTTTGTTCTAACGAAGGTGGTGCTCGTCGGCCACGGCTCTGTGCAGTGGGAGCCTGTGAAGCCCAGCGGACTGCGGGCTCTGCTGCCCCCGCTGTCCTTCAGCCAGATGCCGTGCCAGTGGGCCTGGACGCTGAGGCTGACAGGTGCCACTTAAAGGGAAACCAGATCACTTGAAGAGGAACAGACAGAGCTGGAGGCCCAGAGGGGGAACCAGCGTTTCGTGTTTAAATCACCGAACACAACCTGTGACGTGAAATCATTTTTATCTGTACCTGAAATCACGTGATCTTACATCACGCTTTTATTTTCTACTTTTCTGCCATTTTTTTTTTTTTACATGAGATTTTTTATGAGGTCGGATGAAGGTGGTGGTGTTTGTTTTATATGGACTATGGAGGAATGTTTTAATAAAGTGAATCAAGCTGTCAAGCATCTTTTTCATGATCTAATATAATTCTAATTTTAAATGGGTTTAAAGAGAAGTTCCCACATTCTGCTACGGTCATACGTCATATTATTTATTATTGATTATATCGGCTCAGCTTTAGCCCTTCTGATCCTGCCAGGAAGACCCTCACTGACACTGACCACCCTCATGGACGCCACATGTTACACACTGTCCACAACTTGCATCTTATTGCACATATTTTCTATAGGTTTTGACATTTTATTATGTATATTTCATTTTATTGTACAGTATGAATAGTTGTCTGTCTCTGAGGACCTTGTCAGCTGGGATTGGCTTCAGCTCCCATCACCTCAACCATCACTTTGAAGCCATATCGATAATAAATGACTGGATTTTATTGTATCGTCCTCTCGCTTCTTTGTTCTTGAACTTCAGGCTCTTGTATTTATCTTCTTGTTCTGTGGCAGCTGATCGTGGACAACAACACTGCGTGACATACAATACACCAACTCACGTGCTAACCCTAACCCTAACCATCACTGACAATCACTCCTTAATTCATTCTCAACTCTTTCAGTTCATACAGACTGTTTCTTCTAATCAATGTCGTAAATACTGTTGTTCTGTTGATGTTGCACATCTGTTATGCTTGTGTCCGTCCTGGGAGAGGGATCTTCACGTTTGTCTCTGAGACAAATTGTGATTTGTGAATATGGGCAGATATCATTTGATTGGGTTGATTGATACTTGCGTTGTATGTGCTTCATCGTTCCCCCATTTATTTTTCGACTCACTGTGCTGATTCCCTGCATGTTGAAAACCTACCTGGCAACCAACACGAATTCTAATCATCTAAGGTAATGCGTCTCTCTAGCGCCCCCTGCTGCTCACATCGTTAACGGCACCGCAACTATGCGGGTCGCTGTATCGGCTGACGGCGCAAAAAAACCCGACCTCAGCTCTCCAGCTGCGCACATCTGGTGCAAGTAAACAACATCATCATCCCTCTCATGCATATACAGATATCTGCGTGATGACGTGACGCGCATGTGTCTCATTGAATCTCTGCTGCTCCGCCTCATTTTTCTTTAAAAAAACAAACAAACAAAAAAAAACAACCTCCGCAACTGTGCGTGAGTTCCCCCGCGTGCAGGAGCTGCGGCGGCTGCAGGTGTGTTTGTCACCTGAGATGCTGAGTTCAGTGCAGGGCACGGCTCACTGTTGTGTCTGCTCTCTGCTGCACGCCTTTAAAGTGGGTGGTCCCTCTCCTGCAAATGTTCCATGACGTGCGGATGGGGGGTTTGCAAGGGGTTCTCACGTCCGTGCGTTTCCCCCCCCCTCAGCAGGCAGGCTATCCCCAGCTCATGACCGCGGATCCCCTGCAGCAGCACAACAACACGAGGGACAGATGCAGAGGATGAGACTGAATGTGAAGTAGAGCTGCCTGGTTTCAACTCGTCCAACAGTCATCCTACATTTATTCTGCTTACATTTATCCAGTGTTTGTAAAATACAGTCGATCAGATGAGTACAACTGCTGCAAGGTGATACAGGTTTAGTTGTCTCGTTAGGAATGTCAAAAAGATTATCGTCCAAATGAATTTTATTGTATAATAAACTATGAAATATATTCATCCATAAAATATGAATACATTGAAATCTGATCAACTCAACAGCCAAGATCCAAACAGCAGTTTTTTTGTCAAACCCAAACATTTATTGATATTTGATAGAATAGAATCGTTTAATCTGCATTTTATTTTCTTCGTGACAGAAAAATAATGGAACGTGCTCATTAAAAATGTTCACAAGTTTGAACGACCCCAACATACAGTTTATTGATTGACATCGTAGAAGATGAATTAGTAAATCTGCATTTTATTTCCTTGATTAACTGTTAAAGGTTCAGTCTGTAGAATTTAGTGACATCTAGTGGTGAAGTTGCACGCTGCAGCTGAATGCCCCTCACCTCCCCCTCCCCTTCAAACGTAAGAGAGAACCTGTGGAAACATTCAGTCGTCATAGAAACTCAAAAGGTTTAGTTTGTCCAGTGTGAAAACATCACGAGGATTATCTTGTGATAAGCAGATATCACCTCACGGCTTTACAACGAATTAGCAGAGTAAATCTGTATCTCAACAGGCCGCAGACTCTTTTAAAGCAACTCTATATAATGACGTCCAGTGGAATCTTAAACTGAATCATCCTCTTTGTTGCTGCACATCTCTTTCAATTCATGTTCATAGAACTGACACAGCCAAGTCTCCTTCACGGGTAAATGACAGCTTTTTATTCCCTCATATTACAAAAGCATTACACAACATTTCTGCATGATTCACATCCTCCCAAAAACAAAACAAAAAAAAAAGACCTGGACATTTCTTTTTTAATCTAACTTACATTCTTGCAATATAAATCTCCTAATATAAGAATACTCCACCTTCCATCCATTCTGACCAAATAAATTTGGCAGAGCTCAGTTTTGGATTTAGTCAAATATTTGAGGCTTTATTTGAGAAACTCAGTTAGTCCTGCAATTTCCTCTATGTGTGCTGAAGGTGAAATATAATTGGACGAGCCTTCATATGTTTATATGGTTTGGTGGATAAGCAGGAAACCAGAGGAGAGGGGAGCCAGTGCACACTGCTCTTCACTGTACCATGCGATGGGGGGGGGGGGGGTTTTTTTGGGGCCGATGCCTCAGTACTGTGTACGGCAAACCACCACTTTCCTCATATTCATGCATGACCACTTTCCTTTGCAGAGAAATTCCTTAAATAT